AGGCAGGCGCCAAACCGCTGCGCCACCCAGGGATCCCTTTTTTTAATTTTTTAATGATGTATTGGAGTAGAACATACTCGCATTTTATCACTGCATTTAGTGGCATACTCTTCCATTTAGAGTAGTCAGAATCTGCCTGCTACTATCTAAAGTCCACCCCAACATTTAGTTTTCTAATACTCTCTCAAAGACTGCTCCTTCAATTGTCAACTCTCCTATATCACCATTTTATCTCAATGTATAATCATTCCCATGAGCCTACAAATAGAGCTTCTATTCACACACCTTGCAGAAAACATTCCCTTGAGCTATGGCCCTATTGACTTCACAGAAAAACTCTAAGAACTTTCTGTATTCGGTGTCTTTGCTATTTGCTATCTCACATTCCATTCTCTCCTTAGCCAAATCCAATGAGGTTTTTGTTCCTTGTAAAATGGCTATGTTAAGGTTACTAATGAATGCTGTGTTACCAAATCCAATGGTCAATTCTCACTTCTCATCTTCCCTGATTTCTTTGCATAATTTGACCCGGTTGGCTACAGCTTTCATCTGAAAAATAGTTTCTCCTGGTTTTCTTCCTACGTAATTAATTATTACTTTCCTTTGCTGATTCCTATTTCTCTGATTGGCCTCATTGTATTTTATTTTATTTTTTTAAGATTTTATTTATTTATTCATGAGAGAGAGAGAGGCAGAGACACAGGCAGAGGGAGAAGCAGGCTCCATACAGGGAGCCCGACATGGGACTGGATCACTGGTCCCCAGGATCATACCCTGGACTGAAGGTGGCACTAAACCGCTGAGCCACCCAGGCTGCCCATCTCATTGTATTTTAATTTGATGGCCTCAATCTTGAGCTTTCTTGTCTATCTCCCTTCCATACTTGACCACATCTAGTTCCTTTTAAATAAAATCTATATAAAATCAGTGACTCCTAAATATATGTTTGCAGCTCAGATTTCTCTCACATCCTTCCCATCTTTATTAGTTATCTATTACTACATAAAAATATTACCCAGAATTTAGTGTCTTAAAATGAAACATTATCTCATGGTTTCTGTGGGTTAGGAATGTGGACATGGCTTAGCTGGGTCTTCTAGCTTAGGGTCACTCTAAAGGTTGAGATTCTGGCTGGGGCATCAATCATCTGAGGGTTCAAATGGGGCATGATCTGCTTTCAGCCTCATGCAATAGTAGTTGGCAGGATTCAGTTCCTTAAAAGTTGTTGGACCAAGTTCTTCTGTGGCTGTTGGCCAGGGGACACCCTCAATTTCTTGCCACATGGACTTTTCAGTAGGGTAGCTGGCTTTATCACAGCAGTGAGGAAGTGCAGTAAAGTGGAAGTCAGTTTTTTGTAACTTAATCTCAGAAGTGACATCCCATCACTTTTGCCTTATTAACAAGTCCGTAGGTCCATCTCACACTCAAAGGAAGGGGATCACAAGGTCATGAATAACAAGATGCAAGGATTATTAGAGGCCTACAGCAGTAATATATCAAATTAACTTGGATAGGATATAGGCATCTTAAACTTATAGAATCCAAAATGGATCATGTTGTCTTAACTTCCGAAACTTACTATTCCCCTAGCCTTCCCCGTCTCGGTTAATGGTAGCACAGTATACCTCTACTTCCTGGCCAGACCTGGGAATGATCCTTGATTTCATTTCAACTCACAGGCACACCCAACATATTAGTGACTCTTACTGTTATTTTCTCTAAATTGTACATCAAGTCTGATAATTTTGCAGCATTACCTTGGTTAAAACTGTGTTCTCAACCAGTATCAGTGCTTGTTTGAACCACTGCATTAGCCTCCAACCTAATTAGTATCCTGTTTTCCTATTTTTGTTCCATTAGAGTCCATTCTTAATGCGGTAGTCAAGGCAAACTTTTAAATAATGTGTATTATCTTATTAGTAACAATATTGGTTCCCCATGGCCGCATCAACAAAATTACCACAAACTGGGTGGCTGAAAACAATACTTACTCTCTTACTGTTTTGCGGGCTAGAAGTTCAAAGCCAAGGTGTCTGCAGGTCCATGCTCTCTCTGAAGGTTCTAGGAAGATGATCGATCCTTCCTTGTTTCTAGCTTCTTGTAGTTATCAGCCATCCTTGGCTCTCCTTGGCTTGTACATGCATACCTCCAATCTCTGCCTCCATTGTTATCGGGCTTTCTTCCCTGTGAGTGCTTGTATGTCTCTCTCTGTAAGGACACCAGTAATTGGATTTAAGGTCTGCCCAAATCCACTGTGATTTCATCTAAACTTGGTTACATCTGCAAGGGCTGTATTCCCAAAAAAGGTCATGTATATGGGTATCCAGGGTTAGTACTTTAACATATTCTTTGGATGGCATATTTCAACCCAAAACAATACTGTATAAACTCTGGATGACTTTTCAGTCCAAATAAAATACATGTCCTTATGTTCTACCGGATAGCCCTGTTAGCTGAGGGAGCCAATATCTGGGCACACCTAGTGTACCCAGACTTAGATTTTGCTATTTTTGAGATGGAAAACCAATGGGAGATCTTAATAAGAAGTAAATGGTAGGGGAAAAAAAAAACAAACAAACCAAACAAATCTCAGTGTAAAGTACAATTTCAATTGGGCTAAAATATAGTTTGCAAAATTGGTATATAATTCATTCACACAAATATTACTATATTATCTGAGAGATACTAGTAGGGGAGTTTGATTTTTTTCCTTTCTACTTTTTCTTACTTTCCAAATATTCTACAATAGTTTGTTTTTCATAATCTCCAAAATCTAAAGATAGTATAAAAACCCCAATAAGTTATTTTTTTTAAATGTTTTCTCGGGCAGCCCGAGTGGCTCAGTGGTTTAGCGCTGCCTTCAGCCCAGGGCCTGATCCTGGAGACCCAGGATCGAGTCCCACGTCAGGCTCCCTGCATGGAGCCTGCTTCTCTCTCTGGCTGCGTCTCTGCCTCTCTCTCTGTGTGTCTCTCATTAATAAATAAAATCTTTAAAAAAAAATACATGTCCTTCCATTTATTGGTTCCAACCCGTTCATGCTTTATCTAGTTCCCATCTCCCTCATGTCTATTCTGCCTCAGTCATATTGATGTTCTTTCCATTGTGCTACTGTTCTTTCCATTGTGCTACTATTAAGAAAGAACTTGTTCTGTCATGGCTTTTGCATATGTTCGTCCTTTTCCTGGATGTTTTCCCCTTATTCACATGTGACTTCTGCTTTCTCATGATTTAAGTCCGAAGTTATAGATAAGACCTTTGAGAAAACACTAACTTCTATACCACATCATTCTCTTTCTTGTAGTACTATTTAATTTTCCTCACATTTATCATTAAATATAGTAATTGCTTGTGTTTTTCCTGGCAAAAATGTAGGCTTGATGAAGGAAGGTTCTTGATCTTATTTCCTTTCATGTCTCTAGTACTCCAGTGTCTAGCATAGTGTATGGCATATGTTGGTTAACAAGTTTATGTATCCATTAAAACCTCAAAGAGCAAGATGATACACAGAACTGCTAGATAGATTCTGGAAAGTTGTCAATATCAAATGCCGATCGACTTCTGATCTTCTGAATTTGTGGAAGCATAGTGTTTCTAGAGGTGGTGGGAACAAGAACAGTCAATCTTAGAATACAATTCTCAGAAGAACCCTAAGCATGTAAAGCTATATGCCACGTTCTAGGGAGTTAAGGAGTAACTAGATGAGACAGGCATAAAGCAATGTATATTCTCTTTGAGGAGATAGTGTAGCTCCTGTGATAGAGAAGTAGGAGCTTCAGATAGTGAAAACTTAGGAATTGAATAATTATAGCAAATGCCTAGTTAAAAACTACATAAATATACATGGATAGAGTTTCACTCCATGCAGGGATTTTGTAAGCAGACACTGTACAAAGAAATAGTAGCACTGCGTGCAAGTGGATCATTGGATATGAATCCTGTATGTTTTTATTTGTGCATACATTTGCATCAGAGGTCTCAGAACTCAGTTTTACTTATTTTTGACCATTTTAAAATATTGTCAATAGAAGACATGCAAACTAATATTCTAGTTGTATTAGCTTGGGAAAAGAGCTTTATATAGACATCAGTAGCAGCTATGTGATTGAAAATTTGTAAGGATTAACAAAATAGTCTATGTGAAGTTCTCAGATACATGTATGACATTTAGTAAGTATTCAACAAAGGTTAATAGTTGTTTTTGATAAACAGAATTTTTCTTTTATGTTTCTGGCTTTTTCAGTGTTGTACTAGCTTTCTGTTATAGCTGTAACAGCTTATCACAGACTTTGTGGCACAAATAACACAAATTCATTCTTTCATTTTTGAAGGTTAGATGTATGAAATGTGAATCACAGGGCTTATAATTAGGGCGTCTTCAGGGCTGGTTCTTCTGGGGACTCCAGGACAGAATCTATTCTTTTAATCTTGTGGCTTCTAGTGGTTGCTGACATTTCTTGGCTCATGGCTTTATCACCCCAATCTTCACTTCTGTTATCACATGGCCATCTCCCTAACTTTAATAATCTTGTCACCCTGTTACAAGGACTCTTGTGATTACATTGGACCCACTTTGGAATCCACGATAATCTTTCCCATGTTATGATCCTTAAATGAATAAAAGCTGTAAACTTCCCTTTCCCACAATAGGTAACATATTCAGTGAATATGGGTATTAGGACATGGACATCTTTGGGAGCCATTATTTTGTCTGGCACAAATGCATTCACTGTCTTTCAATTTTAACAATTATTTTTTAAGAAGTACAAAGCTTTATTAGTCTTTTTTGTTTCCTTTATGAGAATTCTAATGACCTATTGGCACATAGGACAAATGCTTATATTTCTTTTCCTGGCAACTTTGGTGGTCAGATTCTCACTGTGTAGTACCTAGGGGTGACTACTGAGCACCTTTATAAAAGATCACTAATTAGTTGTACTTTGTTCGCAGACCTTAGAACTGAATTTTCTGTTGGTTAGAGCTCAGCATTCTGACTGCTCCCATGAACTGTGGATATGGAGATGGCATCTGTGCCACAGATCATTTGGGAACCTTTGGAAGCATTTTTGCTTGTGAAAACTTGGGCAAGGTACCACAAGAATATTGTGGGTAAAGGCTATGAATGCTGCTACCGATCCTACAGTGCACAGCATAGCCCCCTAAAACAAAGGGTTATCTGGCCCAACATGTTAATAGCAGTGGGGTTGAGAAACCCTGCCATAGGGAACTCTAAAAACTAGAATTGCTCAGACGTTTGCTTTTCAGGGTATGGTCCGTGGATCATCAGTCTCTTTGAAAGCTCCCCATGTGACCCCAAGATGAAGCCTTAGCTATTCTCCCAGTATTCTACTCTCCTTACAACTTGTTACGGCTCTGGCTAAATTGAGTTGAATTGGAAAAATAAAATTTTAAAAAAACTTTTGCCACATATAACAAACATCAAAGATGGAGTTCTGATTAACATAAAGCCACATTTTCTTGAGAGCTGTAGTAAGTTTCTTCAATATGTTGAATTTTAAAGAAACCAAAATGTGATAAGGGTCATGTTTAGCCAACTACCCATTAAATATATTGTCAGGAAGAGCTCATAAAGGAGGGCAGATCCACTCAGGGAGGATCATGTTGATAGCCCACAAGACCGATGATGGAATATATTTGCTTTCTTCCCTGGCTTTGTCACTGGCCTCATCCAATCTGCTGACTTGGGAACCCAAAAAGTTTCTTCAATATGAGCTTTGAAGCTGAATTACAGTGGAGGGCATGATGAATATGCAGTGTGTAAGAAAGGTGAATTAGAAAAGTGGCAGATGGAAACCGTGTAGTGTTTCTGTTTATGCTTTCTATTCTTGTGCACAGTGCACTTTCCATTTTGGCTAGGTCATCCGTTTACTGGATTTTCTCCTGTCACCAAACAAGTATGAGTTATATTGAGTTTTACAGAAATTTTGGGTAGCATATGGAATATTTCCCTTTCCCCAATAATTCCCAGTAGTTTAAATCTGGAATTACTACATATGGTTAATTCAGCTAAGGTGATAGTTGGCACCATAGTCCTATAAAATGTCCAGTGGTTTTTAATAATAAAGGGTAATACACATCCGACTCTAAGCATCAATGTTTAATACTAATCATACATTGTTGTATTTAATTTTTTTGTAATAATATTCTGAGGTGGAGATTGTTCCCTTGTACACTTTACATATAAGAGGACAGAGGTATAGAGATATTAAGTATTGTGTACATGTTATACAGTTGGTAAGAAGTTGAGCTGTACTTCAGACACAGGCATTTTTACTCTTAATCACCTTTGTTTATATTTCTTGATGTCTCTCTTTGCAGACCATCAGTTTGTACTAGGGATTTTCTGAGGGGTAGCTGGTTACACTAAGCAAGTCTGGACTTTGTAAAGGATGATTATATCATTTTCAGATGACTTTGATATTGAGACCTTTTTCAAGGAAGCTGCATCCCAGCCACCATTCCTCTAAGCACGATGCCTCGGCCTTTCGAAAGCTCAGAGAAAGGCCTAACGTCTCAAAGTACACCTACTTCTTATTAATGATAATGTTATGGAAATAGACTTTTTTCTATGCATCTTTGTAGTCCCACTGGTTTCTTATTTAACTGCTGTGAAGTTGTCTTTATATAGTTGTTCACATGGTTTCTGATTGAAACACCATGATACTAAGCATTGACTAGAATATAAAATCCAACCAAAGGTAGGTTATTGTAATTTCTTCCTTTAAACTTTTAAAAAATCACTTTACTCATTTTAAAGTATTCATTGATTAACTTTATTATAGTAAATGTAGTTCTGAAGCATAATGTTAAAAAACTCATGAGTCATAAAGATACAAAATGTACACATGTCAAAGATGCATTTAATTCACTAATGAAAGAACTGGAAGGAAGACATGTTAAAACTAGCTTAGAGAAGATTTCAGAGAACCACAAATTTATATGCGGTAAAAGAATTTTGGAATGGATTTGCCACAACTGGTATGTATATAGAGCAGTGATCAGTTGCATCCCACCAGACCACAAATAATTTCCATTTCTACGGACAGGATTTACTTGCATTGCTGTTAATGTTCTAGAAGTTATCTTTTCAGAGTTGTGAAATAGCATATCTAAAGACAAAGGTACACAAGCAGGACCAGGTAGTCCCTAGAAGCTCCAACTTTCCATCAGAAGATTATCAAGTAATCTCTATTGTTCATACCAGTATCTCAGATATTTTAATTAAGTCCTATCCTGTGGATGCATCTACATTTTTTTTCATTAGGTTTTACTTGGTATGCGATTGTGTTTTCTCAATGCAAGTGTAAATACATACATACATAAATACATACATAAATGTATGTGTAGATCCAAGATATTTGCAAAATATTTTTCCAAATTTCATTTAGTTATCTACCGCTTTTTGCCTGTGTATCCCCAATTTTCCAGCTTAGAGATACCACCTTCACTCCCACTGACCTCCCCTCCTTTTTATTTTATTTTTTTAAAATTTTTTATTGGAGTTCAATTTGCCAACATGTAGCATAACACCCAGTGCTTGTCCCGCCAAGTGCCCCCCTCAGTGCCCATCACCCAGTTACCCCAACCCCCCGCCCACCTCCCCTTCCACTACCTCTTGTTCATTTCCCAGAGTTAGGTGTCTCTCATGTTTTGTCACCTTCACAGATATTTTCACTCATCGTCTCTCCTTTCCATTTATTCCCTTGCACTAATTTTTATATTCCCCAAACGAATGAGACCATATGTCCTTTTCCGATTGACTTACTTCACTCAGCATAATACCCTTCCAAGGTGCATCCACGTCAAAGCAAACAGTGGGTATTTGTCGTTTCTAATGGCTGAGTAATATTCCATCATATACATAGACCACAGCTGCTTTGTCCATTCATCTTTCGATGGACACTGAGGCTCCTTCCACAGTTTGGCTATTGTGGACATTGCTGCTATAAACATTGGGGTGCAAGTGTCCCGGCGTTTCACTGCATCTGTATCTTTGGGGTAAATCCCCAGCAGTGCAATTGCTGGGTCATAGGGCAGCTCTATTTTTAACTCTTTGAGGAACCTCTACAGTTTTCCAGAGTGGCTGCACCAGTTCACATTCCCACCAACAGTGCAAGAGGGTTCCCCCTTCTCCACATCCTCTCCAACATTTGTGGTTTCCTGTCTTGTTAATTTTCCCCATTCTCCCTGGTGTGAGGTGGTATCTCATTGTGGTTTTGATTTGTATTTCCCTGATGGCCAGTGATGCGGAGCATTTTCTCATGTGCTTGTTGGCCATGTCTATGTCTTCCTCTGTGAAGTTTCTGTTCATGTCTTTTGCCCATTTCATGATTGGATTGTTTGTTTCTTTGCTGTTGAGTTTAATAAGTTCTTTATAGATCTTGGATACTAGCCCTTTATCTGATAGGTCATTTGCAAATATCTTCTCCCATTCTGTAGGTTGTCTTTGAGTTTTGTGGACTGTATCCTTTGGTGTGCAGAAGCTTTTGATCTTGACGAAGTCCCAATAATTCATTTTTGCTTTTGTTTCTCTTGCCTTCATGGATGTATCTTGCAAGAAGTTACTGTGGCCAAGTTCAAAAAGGGTGTTGTCTGTGTTCTCCTCTAGGATTTTGATGGACTCTTGTCTCACATTTAAATCTTTCATCCATTTTGAGTTTATCTTTGTGTATGGTGCAAGAGAGTGGTCTAGTTTCATTCTTCTGCATGTGGATGTACAATTTTCCCAGCACCATTTATTGAAGAGACTGTCTTTCTTCCAGTGGATAGTCTTCCCTGCTTTGTTGAATATTAGTTGACCATAGAGTCGAGGGCACATTTCTGGGTTCTCTATTCTGTTCCATTGATCTATGTGTCTGTTTTTGTGCCAGTACCACACTGTCTTGATGACCACAGCTTTGTAGTATAACCTGAAATCCTGCATTGTGATGCCCCCGGCTCTGGTTTTCTTTTTTCAATATTCCCCTGGCTATTCGGGGTCTTTTCTGATTCCACACAAATCTTAAGATGATTTGTTCCAACTCTCTGAAGAAAGTCCATGGTATTTTGATAAGGATTGCATTAAATGTGTAAATTGCCCTGGATAGCATTGACATTTTCACAATATTAATTCTGCCAATCCATGAGCATGGAATATTTTTCCATTTATTTGTGTCTTCCTCAATTTCTTTCAGAAGTGTTCTGTAGTTTTTAGAGTATAGATCCTTTACCTCTTTGGTTAGGTTTATTACTAGGAACAGGAAGAAATAGAAAACCTGAACAGGCTGATAACCAGGGAGGAAATGGAAGCAGTAATCAAAAACCTACCAAGACACAAAAGTCCAGGGCCAGATGAGATGGTGTCCCAGGGGAATTCTATCAAAGAATTTAAAGAAGAAATAATACCTATTCTGCTAAAGCTCTTCTGAAAGATAGAAAGAGATGGAATACTTCTAAACTCGTTCTATGAGGCCAGCATCGCCTTAATTCCAAAACCAGACAAAGACCCCACCAAAAAGGAGAATTATAGACCAATATCCCTGATGAACACAGATGCAAAAATTCTTAACAAGATACTAGCCAATAGGATCCAACAGTACATTAAGAAGATTATTAACCATGACCAAGTGGGATTTATCCCTAGGATGCAAGGCTGGTTCAACACTCGTAAAGCAATCAGTGTGATGGATCATATCAACAAGAGAAAAAACAAGAACCATATAATCCTCTCAATAGATGCAGAGGAAGCATTTGACAAAATACAGCATCCATTCCTGATCAAAACTCATCAGAGTGTAGGGATAGAGGGAACATTACTCAGCATCTTAAAAGCCATCTACAAAAAGCCCACAGAGGGATCCCTGGGTGGCGCAGCGGTTTAGCGCCTGCCTTTGGCCCAGGGCACAATCCTGGAGATCCGGAATCGAGTCCCACGTCGGGCTTCCGGTGCATGGAGCCTGCTTCTCTCTCTGCCTGTGTCTCTGCTTCTCTCTCTCTGTGTGTGACTATCATAAATAAATAAAAATTAAAAAAATTAAAAAAAGAAAAGCCCACAGCAAATATCATTCTCAATGGGGAAACACTAGAAGC